TATAAAACATGGATATGGAGAAAAAAAATGCCTAAGCAACTCGTGCACGACCAGCAGCCATGAGTATTTTTTTTTCTTTTACTCAAAGAGAGAACCATATAACAATGGGAACCACATGTAGAGAGGAAGACTTTCAGAACCAACTGCATGGAGAGGTAACTGAAACTCTGCTGCAATGGGTTAAACATGAGAATAAGGCATTGAGGTACATCTGTAGTTTAGGATCTCTAGAAATAATATTCTGTGATAAAAATAACCCCAACAATGCTTAAACATCTTTCAAGTGTTTTCTCAGTGCATCTTGAAATACCAGCTGCAAGATTCTCTTAAATGCATGTAACTTATTCTCAGTTTAAAGATCAAATAAAATATAGACCTTCCATATACAAAAATAAGACAAGCATCTGCTCAACCCTAAAACAGTATTTTAATAATATAAAGATATTAATAATGTTATACGGAGTCTAATCACTTCTGTGCAAGATGTCAGAAGTTCAAAAAGCTAGACTACTTTGCAAGTCTACTGCAAAGGTGCCTGTTTCTTACACATAGATAATGTTTTCAGAACTTTGTACATCAAGTCAGCAACTCTGCTGTCCTGAACAGTTGCCTGGTTGATTGCTGCTGCTGCACAAGATTCACATGATTTTGCACTAGGTCCACTCTGACTGTGCAGAATCAAATTATTCTCTACTGCATCACATACATCCTGTCTTGCAATTCAAAATTTTCTACTACTTGAAAGTAGCTGAGTGCTTGCTTGAGAAAAGTAGTTGGAATTGTTAGGCTGTAGGTTGAACTTTATTGGAACTATAAGGTTATTTGCTGTAAGTTGAACAGAGATTATAGTACAGTCTGGAGTACACATAACAATATGCACATTAATAATAATTAAACTGGACAAAACTAGCATTTTAAATATTACTCAAAAAATAATAGATCACAGCTTATGGACTGCAACAACCATATTACAATACAGATGGCAGAACCAACTAAACATACAGCAAGCAGTTGGTAGCAAAACAGAAAATCAGAAGCAAGAAGACCCCAGACCCCAATGCTATTGTTTGTCCAGGCTGTCATGTGAGGGATAGAGTTTGGACTGTAAGTGTATAACTGCCTAGGATTTATTTGTTCAGAGTCCCTGTCTTGAAGCACTGCCAGGTACCTTAATTGACCTGTGCCAACAAACCTATCTAATGGAAAAGAGAAATTAATGTCAAAAATTTTGTAAACACATGTGGAAATGGATCTTGCAAATTGCAGTGTCTTCTGCATTCAATATAAAGAATTGTTACATTGTTCCGTCTCCACTGAACACAGATAGAGCAAAATGCTGCTCATTATGAAAGAAATGTCTTTTGAAGGACAATGTACTAGGAACCCAGCTTTTAAGTCCTAAAAACTTCCTGCAATGAAGTATGATACAGCTTTTTTTTGGGAAGCATCCGAGGTTCTTCAGCTGCAAAACCTGGCAGAGCAATGGTTAGGTTCAAATACATAATAGATGAAAACATATCTGAAGTGTTCTTTCACATAGACACTTCCCTCTCAGTTATTACTTCAAGGATTTACACACGCCATGTGTATGTAAATCCAGATAGAGGACAATCACTCAGGAAGACTTCAGCTTATTTCTTTTGATCTCCATTCACAAGTGGTTTGCCTAGTGCGCTGGTCTTAAACGAAGTCTTGAGTTTATTCTTACACAAATACAGGAGATGCCAGATTGATCCAGAATACAACCACATGTTGTTTCAACTTGCCCACACTCCCTAGCTTCTTTGTGGCAAGCAAATGAATCAAACTCTCGCAAGTCAGCACTAAAGATGGAAGCAAATAATTTCTTTATCCACCATACCTGAACTGCTTCAGCCATTAATTCTAACACACTCTGCTCTCCCTTGTCTGAAGGTAAACATCACAGTTAAAGTCCCCAACCCCACCTAATTGTATTGCCTAAATAATAAAAAAAAATCCACCCAACGATTTGAATTCAAAGACATCTGGAAATGATGACTCTCACTGGGCATCTCTTGTAGAGGTTACTCACCTCACTACTAAGAGGTGCATGGCAATTTGGGTTTGTCTGCTTCGGCTTTAATTGGTATTTCCACTGCTACATATCAAAACTTCCTGAATCCCAGATACATTACATCTCTGTTGTTACTTTACCAGCCTTTGTCTAAAATCTTGCATAATATAATCGTGTCTGCCACCACTTTTAGTCTTCATCCCCTTTATTCCCTGAATCAGCTAATTTACAATTTTTCTTTTCCTCTGGGAATTTCAGCCAACCAATCTGCCACTATCCGTACTTTGCCATTTGTCCTTTATAAGTAGCCACACCAAACAAGCACCTCCCTGAATCTCCTTCCCATTCCAGTAACTCTTTCAAGTATGACACACAACTGAGATTTTCAGCCAGTTCTTTACAGATGACAAACCACAGAAAATATAAAATTGCTTGCTGAATTTGATGAAACCCCTACTTCTCACTTCTCTCAACACATAAAGGAAAACAGCATTCTGTCCTTGTAAATGAAATCAGAAAAAAAAAAAGAAAAAAAACTAAAATACCGAAACAGTGATGCTGGAATGAAACACGAACATTTAACAGGCATTATTGGATCACTAAACACTAACATACTTCTGTGAAGACAGAACTATGTGGCCCTCAGTTATTTTTTTTCATTCCTGAAGTGTTTACTAGCTTATGCTATGTTACACACAGCATAAAAAAACCCCAGTTTTTAAAATGTTTTTTGCACGTCTGTAAATTCTTATGAACAGCAGACCTCTAGCTTTGAGGGGGTTTTATTCCATCTTTACTGTCTTTTTTATCAAGTCTTTCCTAGAGTAGTTTATTTTCAATTGCTTTGTTCACTACTGAACTACAGACACTCAGCTAACTAAATTCCTAATTTTTCTTCTTCAGTGAATCACAGGTGTAGAAGAGAAGCAGTTCCCTGCTGGCCCACTATGACCCCTACTTATGAAGTTCACCTGTCAAACTCCACATTTCAGGGCTGTGAAATAAATGAGATTTCATGTCCATTGCTGGGATAAAATAACACAATTGAACAAAAGGCAAGCTATGTTGCATACAAATGCTGTTGCAGGCAGCCACAGTTGGCTTTTCTCAGATACATTCAGATTTCCTGCTTGTGACATATAGTTCTCTCTCTCAATAATTGGAAAAAAATCCTGAATACAACTGAGAATTTTTGCCTACAAGTTTCAGAACCTGCAACAAGGGCTTAGGAGCAGCATACAGATTTATGATCATTACAAAGCAGCAGGTTACCTAGCAACAAATACATATTTTCTGATGAAAATTGCTTCAGTAGGGTCTAAAATCTAAAGTGATTTTAAAAAAAGAAAAATAAATACATCTTGCCCCAAGCACTTGTTTTTGCTGAAAGGCATGCCCTAAAAGAGGATACCTAATATCAATGTAGGAAATTTAAAGAAGACTGAATAGATTGTAACATCTATATGTTACAATCTATATGTGTTACGATCCATATGTTACATCTATAGTGTAAAACATACTGAGATGCTAACTTTTAATCAATCACTTCCACAAAAGAAGTTGCTTCCAGTCAGGAACACCGACCAAGACAATAGAATAAATCCTAGATTTTCCACCCTATATCATCACCTTCACAAGCTGATTTCTTTGGAATTCCATCTGGACAGATACAATTTATCAAGTTGTCATGGAAGTGTGGCAATGCAATCATGTTACATATTTAAACATGTACACACAGATCATTTAGACTGATAACATTCAGCACATACCTGAAATTCCTGTGATGTGACTATTATCCTGGAGTTGAAAATGCCAGTTAACAAAATAGAGAAACATTTATTTCCAATATGTGAGAAAAACTGAACTACACTCACAACCAACTGAACGATACTTAAGACCAACACAGGCAGGAGGATGTGCTGTTCTTAATTAAGGCTATTCCCTCTCTCTCTAACTTGAGTTCCCAAGCCCAGTACTTTCCAGTGTTTTGTTAAAATTTTAAGAGAATGACCAGTAAAAGACAGGATAATGTTTGCAACTGGGCAAGTGTCTATGGAATTTGCTACATACCAGTTGGAAACACAGCTATCATGGAAGTTGCCATGCTGCTGTAACACAGGACTTTGAACCACCTCACCTCTAACACTGAACTAGGAGGTAAAAAGTTTATAAATAAATAAATTACAAACTCTCTCTGTAAAAGCAGTTTATTTTTTATATATGACTGTCTAATACCACTCGCAGTGGGGCTGAGGCCTCAGCTTGGGGTCACAAGCAGAAGGCTTTTCAAGGGCCTCTAGCGCTCCCCAAGCATCCCCCTAATGACTCCTATCCTGTTCTGCAGGGTCATACCAAGAGCCTTGGTACCCATCATGAGGTTGGCAGTGAACTGTGCCTCAAAGGAGGGCTAGACACACCTGGGAACCTGCCCCATCAGAAAGAAGGTGAGCTTGAAAGCCATAAGGACAGGGCACCATCGCTTCACACGTGCTCCCCCTGCACATGCCCTCATGACCTAAGTATTAAAAAGGGCCAGGCCACCCAATGAAGGACGGCTGAGAACAGAGGCAGCTCCAGGTGGTCCCTTCGCCAAAAATCCTGCTATGGGCTGACGTAGCCCCAGCCCTACTACCTAGCCAACAAGGGCGGGCACAGGAGCACAACACTTACTTTATCTTTCATGGCAGAGGGAGCAGCAACCGTCGGCTGCTTGGAGCCCTTGCTGAGCTTCTTGCCCGCGCCGTCGCCGCCTGCACCGCCGCTCTCCACCTTGATCAGCCGGTGCTTGGGGGAGATGTACTTCACGTCGGGCGGCGTCGCCGGGCGGCGCTCGCTGTGGCTGCGGAAGAGGTGCGGGGAGCCGGTGGTGGGAGGCGTGGCGCAGCACGACGAAGAGGAGGAGGAGGAGGAAGCCTTGAGGGCTGCCTCGCCCAGGTCCTCGGGCGCCGAGTAGTCCGGGCGGCACATGGCGCGCAGCTTGCGCAGGGACGAGCCGGGCCCGCTGTAGGGGTCCTCGAAGTCGCGGTCCTTCTGGGCGCGGTAGGCGCGGAGCAGGTCGCTGGTGTCGTCGCGCAGACGGCGGCGCGAGAAGCCGGGCGAGGTGTGGTGGTGGTGGAGGTGGAGGTGCGGCGGCCCCTCGGGGCGGGGCGCGCTGCCGGCACCGTTGCGCTTCTCCCGGTAGTCGGGCCGCGGGGGCTGCGGAGGGCTCTTGGTCTTGCTATTGCCCAGGCTGAAGTACTTGTTCAGCCATTTGGCCATCGTCTCTCCCGGTCGCGGCCTCAGCACCGCTGCGCGCTGCCCCCGGCGCCCCGCGCCCCAGCCCCGCTCGCCGCCCGCATGGAGGAGCGGGTCGGCGGGGCGGGCCGGGCGCCCCGCTCCGCGCACTCCCCGCTCTCCCGCTGCCAGCGGCTGGGAAGGCCCCGCCGAGCCCCCCGGCTTCCCGGCAGGACGGAGCCGCTCCCGGCCCCAGCCAGGCGCTCGCCGTAGCTCCGCGCCCGCCCCCGCGGCTCCGGGTCTGCCGCGACCTCAGCCCCGCTGCTCCGCGCTGGCAGCGCAGCGCAGCCCAGCCTGACCTCAGCACGCACCGGAGAGGCGGGGGACGCATCTGCATGCGGGGCCCGCCCACCGCCGCGGCCGGGCGGGGCCGCGCCAGGTGCCGCGGGGCGGTGCGGATGGGCCGGCCCTGCGCGGGCCGGGCCGGGGCCGCCTCAGCCTGGCCTTGCTTCGCCTTCTGGGGCGCCGGGAGCCGCCGGGGCTTCCCAGCTGTGCCCGCGAACGGGCGGGGGAGGGGAGCTGTGGCTGTGAGGAAGACGGAGGTGCCTTTCCGTTCCTTTCCTAGGTTCCTGCGCCTGCCGTCTGGAGAGGCCGTGGGACCTGCAGCCGCCACCTGCACAGTCTGAACTCTGAATTCTCTGCTACCGCTACCTGTGTGTCCTTCTTCCCATCCGTGGTGGGCTAGGAGGGTTCCAGCTGGCGCCTAAAAATGTAACCAAGCCCTGGTTTTGGCTAGGGCTGATGCTAAAAAGGATGTTGCATATTTTTTGTTAGGTACATTTCCCATGTGTGTTCCTAGGTAAGGAAATCAAATACAGAGATGATGCTTGTGTGAATCATGCTGCTCAGCTTGTGTGTTGCCAGAAGGATTTGTCAGCTGGACCACCACAGTCACAGCCACTTTTAATCTTTCTCCATCTGCCTGAAGGTAAACATATACTACAGCAGGTTTTCCCAAGTTCTGTCTGCCCAGCTGTGATAGTCTCACTATATCTTTAGTCCTGGTCCTAGTGCTGATTTGGTCTGGTTTTAGGAAATGCTGGAGACATTGAATGGATGTTCAAATGGGAACAGGAATACCTGCAGGCTGATCTCTCCAGGCCTGTCTCTGGCCTTTGCCACAATGAAAAAGTTAAGCAAACATAACTACTCAGATGATAGCTTGACCTGTAGTGCTTCAGTTGTGCATTATGATCAGTGACAGGAGAGATTTGTTGCAGTTTTGTTCTGTCTACACTGCATGGTGGAACACAGTTTCAAGTGAAGAGTTAGAGAACGCCTCATAATTGCATTTTAAAAAAATCTTCTGCTAATCAGAATTCAGACATGTCAATAAAAGAAATAAAAAAGTTTTTCATTCCTCCAATGCAAATCTGTGACAAAGTTTTCCAGAGCTATACCTTCATGCAAAGCATCATTTCCCCATTGTTTTATCAAGTCCATCAATGCAGAGAGATGAGCAAGAAGGAGAACTCTTTTCATATAGTTCCTAGTTTCACTAGGAGCTGTGGGTGTGCTCCTAATATGATGTGCTGGTTTTGACTCAGGTACTGTTAATTTTCTTCACAATAGCTATTATGGGGCAATTTGTGCTGAAAACAGCATTATTAATATGGAGGGGGTGGGGGTTGTTACTGATGAGCAGTGCTTACACAGAGCCAAGGCCGTGTCTTCTCACAACACCCCAGCAGTGAGCAAAACTGGGGGTACACAAAAGCTTGGGATGGCACAAGCCGGGACAGCTGACCTCAACCAGCCAGATGCATATTCCATATCACGTGGTGTCATGCTCAGCATACAAAACTGGGGGAGAAGAAGGAAGGGGGGGATGTTCAGAGTGTTAACCTCTGTCTTCCCTAACATGCTTTCTGCACAGAAGGGTGGCTGAAAATTAGACATGAGATGCAGCCCTATTTAGAAGATAAGAAAGGCAATGTCATGCACAGTTCGGAGAGGGTTGTGAAGATGTCAGAGCACAGTCATGTTTTGCACTGTTGTTTTTAATCATTTGGGAGTTACAGCTCTTTTAACATTTTTATAATCAGGATAGTGGAGGGAAGAGAACAGGAAACCTTTATCTACTTATTACTCCAAGTCATCTGTGTATTGCCCTGTTGCATTTTGGCAAACACTTGTGTAGCTCCCTGTTGGCATTGTTGAAGCCCAATGCCAGACACATACCTGCAGTGTATTTACACACCCACAGCCAGTCATGAATTATGAGGGCAAAATGGACTCGGCTATATTAATGCATTAATTCTCTTTATGAAATAAACATGGACTAGATTTACATACGAAGTTTGTATCTGGTTTTATTGACCCTTTTAACCTTGCTCTTGGCTACACATTTCTCTATAAGAAGCCTCGCTGTCTCTGAGTTTGGGCACTATCCTTGAAATTTGCCCAACATAGGCATGTCTGTATGTTTTAGGGAGCACCTGAGAACAAACCTCCTCCCCCGTGAGCACGGCTTCACTTGTTATTCCTTCCTGCAGTATTTTCATCAGCGTGTGTGGAAAGGAGGGTTGCATGCTCCCTTTACTGTCATCAGCAGTATTTTTCTTTTTACGTCCTTAGTGCTGGTCTTCTGTCTCTGCTCAGCATATTCATCCTGTCTGACTACAGAGGGTTTTTTTCCTCAGAGCAACTTCTCAGCCTGAGCCTGAACAGTGAGTGTCCTGTTTCTTGACTGACTAGTGCCTGGGTCTCTCAGGGGGTTGCAAGACTCCCAGTAGTTGCTGATTGAGGAATAATATATTCTAAGCCCTTTGCATGAGAGCGATTTTTTGCCCTGAAGCAAGATGAGTCTCAATTTCTTTAAAACTGGAAGGATCTCATTACCCAGAAGTCTAGCAGCTCCCTAATTCCTGTTCTGCCAGTCACGGGAAGGGCAAGAAAGTCCCAGCAGTGCTCCAAACTCAGCCTGATAGTGTCCCTTGTGGCTTGGTGAAGAACCACATTCTGTTCCATGCATTTACAGGCACCTTGTGTGGTGACAAGCGAGCAAAAAAGCACATCGATGCAGGGGAGCTCCTCTAATACTTCAGAATTTCTCTTAAGCTGCCACCTAGCAGTGTGAGAGGATAGGAACTACGGGTGTACAGGATAACCCTAGGAAACCCCAAACTTGGATAAATACCTACGAATGAATAATAGGAATACCTACAGAATAATCTGTAAAACCGGCATAACAGAGAAGTAAAATCAAGAATTCCATTGTCTCTCTAATCTCAGAGGTTGTTCCAATATAAATCTGCAAGGCCCAAAACATTTTTGCATATGCCCAAGATGCTTTCCAGTCTCAGTCTGCTCATGCAGAGTACACCCAAACCTCCAGGACTTCTAGTCCCCACTCTGAATAATTTTCACACGTATTTTTGAAGGTAACAGGCTTTGTAGTTTTCAGCACTTTGGCCACATTTTTAAGTTCTGCTTTTTTTTTTTTTTTTTCCAACCATAAGGAGAAAGGGGTGATTATGAAAGTGAACTTTTTCTATGAAATAACAAATCCTAAAATGTTATTATCTGAATAGAATATCTACTTCTTCTCAGATCTGCATTTCTTGAAGCAGAAATAATTCACAGTTTGTTTCAACTTAGGGAATTAGTAAAGAAGAGACTCTTACTTTTTGATACAGGCATATCCTTGCACACAAATCACTAATTTGTGCTAAGTGTTCACACTCCTAATCATATTAATTTAATTAAATAATGAAGTTAAGGAGCATCTACTCTAGAATTTATAAGGCCTTGTTTCCTCTCATACTCCTGATTTCCATATATAATAAGAGTTGCATTACATGCAGTGCATTTCAAATTAGGATAAAGAAGAAAAAGTAGCAAGTAACATGCAGAGCAAAGTACTTTCTGTACTGATAAACACTCAAGCAGTGCTGCCAAATCTAACTTTACACTTATCTTCCTGGAAAATAAATCCAAAATTTTCAGTATTGATCAATCCTTCACACTGAGATATCCATAAGAAAGATAGAAAGCAGACAATCAGTCTGGTTAATATGGTTTTAGGCTATGCAGAAAAAAAAAATAAATCAAATACATTCACCATGTTAAGCCATCACAAAACAGAGAAATGTTCTCTTTCTTGAGGTACTTCTTTCCTGGTGACTAGTGTCAGATAGTTCAGAAAGGGTATGTAGCATACATAACACATTTGGATTCCTCCTATTTATGTATGTTGCATCACAAAACCATACCCAGCTAATGATCAGTTTGTTGTCCATAGCCTGTGGAAATGCTGAATGTTTTCTTTCTCCTTCACATATATGACTGAATGTAGGATTATTAGGAAGTTCTGTATTTCTTCTTTCCAGGATGACATCTTCCTGCAATTTGTTTATTCCTGAGTAAGGAGAAATTCTTATACTGTGAGCATGTATTAGTTATTTAAGTCCAACCAATTTGTCCCATATTCTCATGCTGCAGGGAAAAACCTAACCAGACACTCCTCTTGAATTCTACTTCTGTGATGATTGCTTTGCCTCCAAGAACAAGTTCACATCAATCATCTTTAGTTTTCCTAAATCACATAAGCTGTTCAAAATCAGATTTTGAAGGGTTTTGTCACCTACAGACATCCTGTGGAATTTGCAAAAGCAACTTTGTAAAACCAGCTGGATTTAGAGTACAGCATTTGTCATTTTCTTGCATTTTTCAGTGCCTCTCTGGAAAGCTCTGGCTCAAGTGACCACTGTGATTTGCATCATAGATCTGCTCTGAGCACATGTAGTGTGTAGCCATTAGAATTATATACCTCAATCCCAGCTACTCTTCAGTAGCTGGGCAAATGACAATGGCAAATTCTGGCAAAGATGCAGCGGTAAAAGCTGATTGCAGCTTATGTCTAGAACCTTGAATTAGCCTGAACTCAACCAGATAAATGGTATAAGGAGTCTTTTTGGTGCAAGCACTTTTCCCTGCTGTTTTTTGGTTTTGGTGTTTTTTGGTTTTTTGTGTTTGGGGGGTTTTTTATGTGGTTTTTTTTTTAATTGTATTTTATTTTATTTTTTTGGGGTTTTTTGTTTGTTTGGTTGGTTGGTTTGGTTTTTTGTGGGATTTTTTTTGTTTTTGTTGTTGTTGTTTGTTTTGGGTTTTGTTTGTTTTGGTTTTGGTTTGTTTTCTTTGGGGTTTTTTTTGTTTGTTTTAGGGTTTTTTTGTGGGTTTCTTGTTTTATTTTGTTTTGTTTTGTTTTGTTTTCCCCTGCAATTACACATTGCAATGTGCAATTATCTCAGGATTCTGACCTTCCTGCTCCGAGTTCCAGTGCAACACAGAACCTTTGGGTAGCAACAGGGCCGCCTGCACAGTGAGAAGAAGTTGAGCACTGGTACAGAGTGGTAATAAGAGCTCCATTGTCAGAAATTGAGACCTCAAATAGAGAGGGCAGATTTAGATTGGCCCAGCTTTCAGTACGACAGTGGTCCAGAGATATCTGGAGGTTCTGTTGAACCTAAAATGAAGCTGTTTGCCTATCCATATTCTTTCCAGTCCTTGGGTACCTGTGCTGCATAAGGCAGGACACAGACCAGAAGCCCTCACTGGCACAACAGGACAATTTTCTATACAAATACGCCTGACTGATACCCCACTGAAATGCCACTACTCAACCTTAAATTGAAAATTGTTTTCCTATAATTCTACTTACCAACTGCAACTGTAAGGACAAAATTACTCCTTTGGAGAACCTCAGCAGAATGATGGCACTAGATTGTAATTACAATTAAATAGCTATTTTTAAAAACATAATTTTAGGATCAGCATAGTATAAAATTTTATGGTCAAAGTAGCACAGGATTTTTTTGTAACTGGTATCAGTGTAGCACAATTTTATAAGTATCATAGCACCAAATTTAAAATCACATCTTAATTGATGTTTCTTAATCACCTGGACTCTGCAGATTGGGTGGTTTGCTTGCAGTGTAAATAAAACAATCATAATCTATATTCAATCTTCAGAGGAAGCAGATTACAGTGGAGGAGTCCCTGACCAGTGGGAGACTGGGTTTTGCTGTCCAAAAGCAGCTGTGGACCAAGTCCCTCTTAGGGCTTGTAACTCCTCCATTTTACTGAGTACTCTCTCTGTGTGATGTTACGTTTCATTCTTCTGTGACTGAATTATCACAACTTTTTTGTCCAGGTGCCTGAGACCTTCAAGGCTATAAGCAGGTGAGAAGGTGGGCTGGTGCCCAGGCACATTAAGGATGATATGGAGGTGGATAAGTCTGCCTGGTGTGTGGTATTTTCAACAGCTGATAAAGTGGAGGAAGGGAGCTGGCACATGACTGCTCAGTCACAGGAACAGCTCTTTGCCATATTAAATGGTATTAGTCATGCTAGCCATATTGCCATGTGTCAGGAGTACAGGAGTGGGGCACCAGAAACTCTGCATTGAAAGAACAGACCCCTAGATTCAATAATGAGGGAAATTTTTGATATGGCACAGGAAGAGATCTAAGATCCTGCTGGCAGTGGTACTGTTGCATCGCTTTAGGTACATTGTTCAGGAACCATAATTTAAAAATCACTACAGTTAAA